GAGCTGCCGCAGGGCCCCCCCCGCGCCCCGCCGCCGGGACGCGCCGCGCGGGGCATGAAGTTGCGGCCGAGCGGGGCGGGCGGCCCCGGCTGCGTCTCCCCTGCGGGGCCGTAGGCTGAGCGAGCGGCTCCGCACCCCGACGCGCGCAGCCCGCGGCCGGGCGCAGCTCCCGCGCAGCCGTGCGATGTGCGCGCAGCGGCACGCACCTGCCCGGCCGGTCCCTTAGCGCGGCGCGGAGGCGGGAGGCGTCCCTCGGGAAGTTTGATGGCTTCTTTGAGGAGAGTCAAAGTGCTGCTGGTGTTAAACTTGATCGCGGTGGCCGGCTTCGTCCTCTTCCTGGCCAAGTGCAGACCCATCACGGCCAAGAGCGGCGACTCCTTTCATGACGTCCATCCCCGGGCAGAAGTGGTCAACTTGACGGCCCGCGGCATCAGCTCCATCCAGGACGCTGTGCTAAAGAGGCTCTCCCTCCTGGAGGACATCGTCTACAGGCAGCTCAATGGTAAGAACTGCTCTGCGCATAACGCTGGGCTACGGCCGTGGGGCACCGAGCGAGCCTGGGGATTTCGTGAAGTTTTGGTGGTGGAGCCACGCTCCCTTTATCTCATACGTGGGCTCTCAGCTCACCGGTGTGGCATCTGATTTCCAAGTTGTGCTCTTGCTGATGGCTCGGAGCACCTGGCACAGAGTGCGAGGAAGGCACAGCAGTGTAACACTGCCTTCGGGTCTGGGGTGCCGGCTGGGAGATCACAGCATTCTGGTTTCTGCATCCAGAGAGAAGGACGTTCTGTGGCCGAGCAGAGCAGCGCACATTATTGATCAGGGAATGGCTTAATTGCCACAGAAGTGCTTTTTTTGGAAAGGAGTTTCTAAATGGCCGTAGGGTCATTTGGGTGCAGAAGGTCGCTAAGCAAAACACGGTGACTGTGAAGTTGAGCAAACAATTCGGTGTTTCCTACGGCTCAGTACTAACAGCTGCTAATTGAAACCTCAGTAATGCTTCTCTTTATAGCACAGCAAAGGGATTTCTATTAAAATCTCACCAGGTTCAGTAGTTCCAAGATGCAGAAAGGGAGTTCTAAAGATGCCGTGTGGGATAGAGAAACGTTGTAAGGACATAAGAAATGTAGGTGAGGCATCTAATTAAAACACTGATGCGGAAGCTCATCTTTCTTAAATTGCTCCCCATAGACTCCCAAGTGGCAGCGTGGTCCCAGCCCAGGCTCCCATTTATTCCTTCCCATCTTTGTAGCGTTAACGACTCCCATCTTCATTGCTGCAGAATGAGTGGAGTTGGTGCTCCTGGAAGCGTCAGTGCGATTCCCTCGCTGACTTTTGAAGAGGAAAAGCGATGCTCGGTGCTGTGCTGCGTTGTGCTGACAGCCGGTGTGCGCTGTGCTGTGCAGCAGGAGAGCAGTGTGCCCTTCCTGAGGGGGGGCGCCCGCCCCCCCCCCCCGGCTGAGCAGCTGTGCTTTGGGGAAGGGGCTGCACAGAGAAGTGCTCAGCTGAGTGGGAAGGTGTTGTTTGTGCTGCTGCTTCACACACTTGTGTGCATTACCTGTTCTGTTTATTGCACCGCCGGAAGATGAAGCAGCAGTGTGGGGTGGCAAGCAAGGTGAAATGGAAAAAGGAAAGGGAGTAAGGTGAAAAAATAGGTTGTAATTGTTACAGAGACTGAAACTGTGAATCTTGCTGCTGGTGGGTGCTGCTTGAGCAGAAGTTTGGGCACTTTGCTTACAAAGGGGCAGCAGGTGCAGTTCAGGATAGGAGACCTCATGCCAGGACCGTGGTGTCAGACCCGTAATCGTGATGCTGTCTGCATCCCACAAGTACAGAGAGAGAGCTGAAATTAAAGTGATTGCTCTACTCTCGTGGAGGGGAGCCTGGGATGCCCTGCGCCAGGGTTGGTCCTGGGGCACAGGTGTGAGCAGTGCTGTACTGTACCATCTGGGGGCTGCCCTGGGGGAGGTCAGGAGCCTGCTGTGTGCTCAGCAGGAGCTGTGCACCTGGGAGCAGGGGAGGCAGAGAGGGATCACGCACTGCCCACATCACAGACGTTTTCTTAGCGCAGGCAGAAAGCTGAACACATGTATGTGATACCTTACCTGCCCTCTGTGTTCTGGGGTGCTTTATGGCTGATAAGTCTGGCTAGCAGATGGTTCTCATGTAGAGCTATTTTTATGTAACTTTGGGTCAAGTGTATATTTGATATGTGTGTTTTAGAAGCGTACTGCTTGCTCTGGGCGCTGGGCAGTGTCTGTGTTGTGCTTCAGCAAGGCTTCAGTAAAGGCAGTGGTCCCCCCACACCCATCTCTCTCAAAGGACACCAGCAGTTGGGACCAGGGGTGCGCAGCCACTGGAGCAGCTTCCCTGCACCGGTGCTCATCCCTCCTCCTGGGCACCCACAGAGTGGCTATGACAGAAATCCTCGTGCCTGCTTGAAGTGTGCAGCTACGTGCTCACTTTGTTTCTGCTGGTTTTAGGATAGGAAAGGTGCGTACTGCTGGCCAGCACCCAGCAACAGCACCCGGTGCAACACATCCACCAAGAGAATTTGTTCTGGTGCTTGAAATTGTATTTTGCTTTCAGTCTGACCTGTGCTTCAGCATTCATGAGGTGTCAGAGCATCCTGTGGTGCAGCACAGGGTAAGCCTGCAGCTTAGGGAACATCAAGAAGCGTCTGAACACAGGGAGAAAGCGAAGCACAGTTTGGGTGAAAGTGGCTATGGATTCTGTCTGCGTTACAGCACTTGGCTGGCTTTCAGTGGGAGTTGGAGCTATTTTTAAAAAAGCAAATCTCTTAAAAAGCACCGATTCTGTACAGATGAAATGAGTGATCCCATCCCACAGCTGCTGTGGTTTCGGTTCCTTGGAGCAGAAGAACAGAAAGAACAGCAATCTGTGGCGTCGCAGCCCTCATGTTATACCTATGCCTGTTTATTTCCTTAAAGGTCGGTCATAAAAACAAGCTAAGCAATGCTGTGTGCCTCAGGTCTGGTAAAGGAATGGTTTTACACCATCGCTCCCTCTGAGTTACGTATTTTTATGTTGTTCTGCAAGCAGTGCCAGGCCCTGCTCTGCAGTGTGATGCTCTGTGCACAGACAGCTGTCCCAAACACATCCTGACCTGCTGCCTGCACTGCCCCTCACATGGAACGTGAGGCTCGAGCTGGGGGTTGGGCATTAACCACATGAAGCCTTGCCTGTGCTTGGTTTTCTCCTTTTAGTCACTCATGAAGAATCCGTGAGAAGACTCAGCCCTGTCCAAATTTGTCTATCCAGTCTTTTATTGGAGGAGGCCTAAAACTCCTGGAGAGCTATACACATGCCTTGCTCCTTCTCACATGTTATTCTTGCCCCTCAGCTCGTTGCAGCAGTCCCATGGTTCTCCCTTTCCCTCTGTGCCATTCCCTACAGGTCCCTACCCAGGTGCTGCCCTGGTGCACAGTGTGCTGCAGGTGACCTTGGAGCGATCTGTCGGAGGCTGTTCTGCAGGCATGTGCTTATCTGAGAATTCAGGGAATTTCTAATTCCTGCTGTCGTTTTTATGGATGGAATTCTCTTGTTGAGCAGATGTTAGGAGAAAGCTAATGGGAGTCTGAAAGGAGCACACTGTTTTGTTTGGGATGTTAACCACTACTTGTCTTTGTGATCCAAGGTGTTTTGTTTTGTTTTTTTTTAACGCTGACATTTACATAAGCAGTCCAGATTGCCTCCAATTATATGGAGATTCACACAAATGAACTTTCGGTTTGGGCTCCTGTTTACAAAGAGAGGATCTGCGTGCTTATGTAAAGGCAAAGCCGAGGTAGCTGGGGAGGATCTGCAGTGTGTGAGCACTCAAGGAGCACAGTCTGCCTCTGCTGCAGCCCTGTGCTGCCTTTGGGGCCACTGCTGAAAGCTCACTGATGAGCACAGGGAATATCAGCCTTGTGTGTGTTTGTAGGGCAGGGGAACCACAAGGCTGGCCCAAAGTTTTTAGCACCGAACTGCTAAAAACTGTGTGCTGAGATTAGTGGTGTGTGTGACAAGCAGTGTGATTTGAGGAAAGCTGTATTCTTCTTCCTTGCGCTTTTGTGTTTCTCTGCTCCATCTCCCTTCATTCTCTGGAGGCTGATCCCAGCCTGGGTGTGCAAAAGGGAAATGTTCACAGCGGTGCAGCACGCATTCACTCCTCTCCCCAAAGGCAGAGAGGAGAAGGGTAGCCCAGGGTGCATCGAGCTGCCAGGATGCAGGTGGGATGCATGCGGCCTGTCAGCTGCTCCTAGGCTCCTAAGTCCAGCATCATTGGTGATGGGTGTTCTGAGCCCTGCTTGCCAGATGCTCTTGAGGTCAGTATATGAACAGCGTGCTCCTGAAGTAGCACTACCACTTTGAGAATAAGAAGTGCAGGGAGGAGATGTCTGAGTAGACCCCAGATTTGCACATGGGGAAAGCCAGCACCCCTATCAGCTGCCACTGAGTACCTTGAGCAAACAGAAGGGAATCGGTTCAGCTGCCCGCTGGTTATCTGAGGCAGGTATTTAACCACCTCCCAGTTGTGCTGGGGTAAACATCTGCATGGCTACTTGCTAGCAGAGCTCCGGACCGTGCTACCTGTGCACGTTCAGCAGAGCTCTGGGTGCTGGGTTAAAACCTGTGAGCAATGAAGGAGGAGTAAGCAGGCCAGAAAGTGGGTGAGCAGAGGCAGGTTTTCCCTATTGCTGAAGTGCACAGAACAAACTGCTCTTACGGTTACGTTGAAGAGGAGCTTTGAATTCCTTGGCAGTTAGATAAGCTGTGCTCTTTTTTTCTTTTTTCTTTTTTTTAAACAAGCTTGCGTCTGTGCTTTTGCACATGCAGTGATTTGCACATACTGAGTTATGAACAAGTGTGTGGCAGCAGCCTCCATGCATACAGATTTTGCTCTCGTCTGCTTATCCAATTAAATTAGCTTTGTGTGGACGTGGAGGCAGATTCAGTAACACGGCCTTTTGCGTGGTCTTCCTATCCCCCTTGTAAAGTGGCACTTAATTAACTTAAAACACTTTAGAGATATGTGGATTTACTTCCCATAAGAATAAGATAATGCTTATCTTCTATAACACTTATCATCCTCAAAGTACATTACAAACTTAGCTAACTACCGAGTATAAAATTATATATGTAAATAAGGCAGATTAGAAGCCGTTCCGTCAGCCGTTTAGTGGCATGTAGCAGTGCTACACCCACAGATTAGCAATATGAGGATTTCCCAACAGGTAGGTAATATATAACTGAAGCACAAAGACGTTCTCTGATTAAGATAAACAGCTAAACATACAGAGCTGAGAGTAGAATAGCGCTGCTTATAGGCAGAGCGGGCCAAACTTTAATCACATTAATGAAGTCAAATCAAAATAGATCTTCATAGGAGCATAGCCTTGCTGCGTGAAACCCTTTGATATCAGAGATGGTGACGTGGAGATAAAACAGAACAGTGGCACACTGCGATGGATGTGAGTGCTGTGTTAACTGATGGTT